AAATACTCTAAAACATATAAATAAGTTACCCGGGCAATTGATTTGCATTAGCCAATCAGACGAATTTCTGCCTATGAGATCACCGGTTAAATAAATATTTATAATGCATATAATCGAATTGTGTAACCTAAACTAATTGTTAAAAAAAAATTTATTTTAGTTTAACCCGTATAAATAATTACAAGTATATAATCTAAAATTGGCTTTCTAGCAAGACTTCAGTTTAGTTTATCGTGTATAAATAACCTTCAGGTGTATGACCTAAAATTGACTTAGCAAAACTCATAGTTTAGTTTATCGTATACGTATAAATAATTCCTCTTTGTGTAACTTAAATTCAATCCGTTAGCGAAAGGGTTTAGCAGAGAGAACCAATATGCACTTATATACACAAACACAATACTACTAACAAATTAAATACTGCCTCTTTATTACGCGCTATAGCTTTTACCATCACTTTAATAATTTCTTATACTTAACAACGTGATCACGTAACGATTATATAGTTTCGTTTGTATCGCAAGAATTAAAACTCCGCGCTTTGTTTACATGAATTTAATGACAAGTGGCTTTTAGACTTACATACTTACATTTATACTTGCATACTTACATTTATACTTGCAGCTTCTACACTTACATATTTACATTCATACCATTTGCGATCTTTTTAGTAATCTCTTTTTTCAACGAACTCTTCAGCGGTCTCTTTTTCGGCAGTCTCTTTTTAGCGATCACTTTTTACTGCGGTCTCTTTGTCTCAGTGATCTCGTTTTTTTAAGCGATTCGTTTTTTTGCGATTTTTTTTTTTCTTCAACGATTTGTTTTTTTAGTGTTTCTTTTTTTTCAACGGCACCTTTTTTTCAGTTGGTTCTGTTCTTTTTTTTAGCAGTTTCTTTTTTCAGCGTTCTCTTTTTTTTAGAGTTCCTTTTTTTTCAGACAATCTTTTTTTTCGTTCATATCGGTTGCGATCTTTTTTTCAACATCAGATGATCACTTCCTTTTGCTTTCCTTTAAAAATCGTATCTTTTTTTCTTTAACAAATTATATGATGGAAAGTAAGTAGTGTGTTTGATTTTTTTTTCACAGCTCATAATGATTTTACTTATTCCATCTTGAATTTAGGTTTTTCTTACGAAGAACTTCAAGCCGATTTACCTTTCTTTCTTAACGATAGTAATAACAAAACGCATTTCTCCTTTTTTCCTGATGACATTGATACAGTAGAGCATGCTGATAACTTTAAAAAACAATTTGATAGTCAAAATTTCTACGTAGAACTTCAAGAAAATATGGGTATAGAATTTCAGGGAAGCATTGTCGTAGAACCTCAAGAAAATATGGGTGTAGAATTTCAGGGAAGCATTGTTGTAAAACCTCAAGAAAATATGGATGTAGAATTTCAGAGAAGCATTATCGTAGAACCTCAAGAAAGTTTAGAATCAGAATTTCAAGGAAGTGTGAGTGTAGAATTTCATGATAGTGCGGATGTAGAATTTCACGATAGTAGGGATGTAGAATTTCACGATAGTACGGATGTAGAATTTCACGATAGTACGGATATAGAATTTTACGATAGTGCAGATGTAGAATTTCACAATAGTACGGATGTAGAATTTCACGATATTATGGGTGTAGAATTTCACGATAGTACCGGTGTAGAATTTGACGATAGTACGGGTGTAGAATTTCAAGATATTATGAATATAGATCCTCAAGAAAGTATGGATCTAGAACCTGAGTTAGAAGAGCCAGTTCATATTAATGTTGGTGATACATTTATTTCATAGGACATTGCTGAAATATGACTTAATCAGTATGCAAGATCAGCTGGATTTAGTATACGTCGTAAATGAGTTGAAGTTGATAAAGATGAAATGGTTCGTTGATGAACATTTGAATGCACTTTTTCTGGAGAGCCCACTTCCAATCAAGTAATTGATCCAACCTGCAAGCGCGAGCATCCATCTATCAAGGTTGGGTGTCCATGGCACATAAATTTAACCATGTCTAAAGCTGTATCAAAAGTAGGCATAACTAGTATTGTTGGAAAACACTGTCATCCTATGATACCCGATATAACTTTATACACATCCAAATATCGAAGGTTGTCAGATAATATAATGGAGCAAATTAAGTTTTATGTAACTAAGGGCAATTTAGGATCAAAACAAATATATTCTTTAATAACTGCAAGTTTTCCAGATCATTTAATCAGCAAGCGAGACATTTATAATGCTGTCTATAGTTTTAAGGCACCTCTCACAAAGCGTCAAGGAGACACACAGAATATGATTAATAAATTACTTGAATTACAAAATCAGGAGTCGGGTTGGATAGTTAAAACAAGACTAGATCCTTTTAATAATCGGCTGACGGGGTTGTTTTGGATGTCACCTAGTCAACAACGGTGTCTTTTACGATATAACGATATAGTACAAACGGATAATACAAGTCAAACGAACTGGTTTAAAATGTATTTGACTCTCTTAGTTGTAATCGATAATAATACTAAAAGTCAACTTGTCGCTCAATGTCTATCAGACGACGAAACAACCGAAAGTTATGAATGGTTCTTCGAATATATTCTTCAAGCGACAAATAATATTCCACCTGTTTGTATATTTTCTGACGCAGACCTCACTTTACTAAATGCCGTAGCATTAAAAATGCCTACTGTTTATCATTTTCTTTGTATTTTCCATATACAAGAAAATTTGCGTAAAAATTTACAAAGTAAATTAGGCAAAGATTATGATACATTCTATAAGGAATTTCTACATGCCCAAAATAGCTTATTCAAAAATGATTTTCATCACCGTTGGGCACGTTTATTAGAAAGGTATCCACAGGCTCAAAATTACCTCAATAATACTTTGCAAAATTGTTATAAAGCGTAGGCAAAATGCTTTCAAATTAAAGTTTTCACAGCCGGAGTCCAAAGTACACAGAGGGTTGAAGTGATGAATAGAATAATTAAGAATAGCTTAAGCTTTGTACACCAATATTACAATATATAATCACAGTTGAAATGCCCCAAATGTAACACCTAGCTAAAAACTTTATTTTAATATATCACCATTCATATTACAGTCTTATTTGTGAACCTATTTGTTGCATTTTCGTGCATTATGGCCAGGTTTTCCACATGTGTTACATACATACTTCCATTTAGTAATATGTTCTTTCATGTCATGAGTTGTTCCAGTAGAAATGTTATCAATTACATTAGAATTGTTGTTAAGGGTATTTAATGGAGTTTTTTGATGTTTATATAAATTTGGATTAGTTGGATTGATTGCACTATTTCTAGTGCTAATATGTTGTGATTTA